TCCCAGATGCCACAGTGGGGAACAAAAAAGCCTGTGCGATATTCAATACCCCTCTGCCACTGCTGGCAGCCCGCCAGCCTGCGCCAGACACCGGCTGCCGAGCCCGCTGGGGACATGGTACCAGAGCAGAAAGACAGAAGGAAACCGAAAATAAAGAAAGGGCTGACAGGGCTGGAGACCGAGTCAGTAGAGAAACAGATATTCAGGGCAATGGGTCAAAGGGGTAAAGTGGAGAAGTGGAAAGGAGGCAAGATCTGGAGTACTGCTTTGCACTTTGCTTTCTCCCAGTGCAGGCTCCCCTGCCCTTCAATGCGTTTTCCTATAAACTACCTTGCTTTTCACACCTCTAAGAGTTGCTCCTACAGCAGCCTTCTACCACCTCCTCTTGGGTTGCATTTCCCTGCCGAAATTTCTGAAAACTTTTGCTTCCCCCAAATCCCAATTTGCTTCACAGTCTCTACTCTGAAGCAGCATCATGAGGGAGAAAATATCCTTCTGATCCCAAATGATTTTTCAGTGACTGAAAACATCATACATGGAGCTATGGAGGGAGAGGAAAAAAATTACCAGCAAAACACGAGCTTTGTTAGAACTGTCTTTTCTCAAAATGCAGCAGGACTTCCCCTGAAGAAAACTATCCCTCACACACTTCACTTTATAAACAAAACTATCAATTCACTGGACTGCTGTCCAAACAGGACTCTTAAAACATGGTCTGGAAACACAGCTACTCCCTGGAAAACACAAGAGAACTTAAATGGCCAGCAAGGGAATAATGCTAATACACTTCTATTACCTCTTCTGATTAAAACTTCAAATTATTAATACCAACATTTACTTGCAATTAACTAAAAAGGCATCCAAATTCAGAGCATCAGCACAACACACTCTCATTTCCTCCTCTAAGTTTTATCCCTGCTTATAGCCAGTCCCCTGCTGATGTCCATTCAGAGCAGGTTCTCAGCCTCCTCCCACAGTAAAGTGCTGCCCTGGAACACTGCGTACTCCCAGAGGCATCAGGGTAGTCTCATTTAAGGCATGGACCACTGTGGACAGGATCCGCACCAGAAACGAAGCAGAGGCAGCACCAGACAGTTTGTCACCCTGAAAAGACAGGGATGTCCTGTTCTGACAGCAGCTGCCTGCAGCTACCTCTTCCCTCCCCTTTTCAGTTGCCATATCAAAAAAAACATCCTGCCTGCATTTAATTAGAGGTAGAGGTATAACCTTGTATCCTGTTCTCTGCTGTCCCGGCTGCTCATCTCCAGCAGAGAGGGTGAACACTACGAATAGGTAGGCTCAGTTTCAAGAAGTTTGCTTCTAAGCATCTATGCCCTCCACCTACTCTCCCTGCTGAGGCAGCAAAAGTTGGGACATGCACTTCTTACAGTCTCTAGTTCATTTCTAGTTCATCAAATCAGTTTTGATTTCAATCAAATCAAACAAGCACCAAAACATCAAATTGTAAACTGAGTCAGCTGAGCAAAGACACCTTTTTGTACTTCTAACAAATATCTGTACTAGAAGCAGCCCAAAAGATAGAGAAAACCAAACTCCTACAAAGCAACACAATAATCAAAACAATGCAGACTAGTAAATGTAAGAATAACAGCTCAACAGCTAAGGTGCAATCATACTTCACATCACAAAATAGATCCAGGATGGCCATAACAGAATGAGGGCCAAACTGCAACAGAAATATGAGGGCAGACAATTCACCCTCAAGACTATTTTCTCATTAATACATAATACTTCAGTTCCACATAAGAATCTCGTTATGTGGTTTTTATGGTACCAGATCATTTGATTAGCTATTTTAGTCTAAAATAACTTCCTCTAAAATACTGTTTAATGTAACGTTTTACCTTTTGATTAAATGTTTGGCCAGCAAGGAACTCAATGCATGGCATCATTGAATATGCCATGCTAGCAGTCTGGTTAAAGTAACTCCAGGATTTTTATTATTTCAGTTTCAAAAAACTGAAAGAACCACAAAGTCAGGAAATAAAGTATTGCATGAGATTGTTGCTTAGGTCTGCTCTTCTTCGCCCAATGCAAAATGAGGTGTCTGCACAGCAACCACGTTCTTCTGTCTGTGTGATGCTGGGACCCCGGTCCTTCCTACTCCCCCCAGACAGCTCATGTTCCACAGCAAGACGAAGGTATCCCATCCCATGGGGTGTTTTCTCTTCCCCTGTTCTGGATGTTATGCTTTGCTGAGGAGAGGCTTTCTCATCTAGATCCTAGATGAACTAATCGTTTCCTGCTGGAAAGGATAAATTCAATTCCCCCCCCTCCCACCCCAGTCTAGGTTGGCAGTGACTGAAAGAGGTAGTTCTTGAAGCCCAGCCTCTGGCCCCTTGCTGGAGAGCAGAGCACGTCAGTCACAGGCAGAAGTCAAGACAAACAAAGGGCTGTTTATACAGAAACTCCCGTCAGCCCTCCCTCTTCTCATCCCCGATAGCTCTCAATCTCTCTGGATACATCTAAAAACATACAGCTGCCAAGAAAGCAGAAGGGAGTGAAACAGAAAATAAAGGTATGTCTTACTCCTGAAATTATCCTTGTGCACTTGTTCTGCTGATACTAGTTATGGAGTACAGAATTAGAAACATATATGGGAACATGCAGAAGAAGATTTGGGAGAAGAAGATATATTGTAGGCAAAAGATGCTATTCAAGGCATATGCATGGATATGATCCAGCTAAAGATAATTCTTTTACTATCTTGTTCTTTTTCAAAGCTGGATGCTACATATTAACATCCAAAGTCATTAAACATACTGTATTGCCTTCCAGTGGTCAATACGATTGCAAAATTGGTGAATATGGAGAGAGGTGTGTTCACAATGAATTGCTGTCTTTAAGAAAAATAAATGGGGTTTAATGAGAACTCAATTTCTGGAAAGAATCATGGTATTGATGGTAATTACAAAGCAGTAATTCACTGAATTCGTCCTCAGTGGAATAGCTGCTGTCCTTACAATGCATCAACTGTTCAAGCAAAATAGGTTTAAAAGATTTTTTTTTTAAATGTAAAAAAATTCTTCATCATACTATCAGTTGTGCAGCTCTTGTGTAATGGTTTCTTCGGAATGCGCTAATAAACCTAAGTATTACACACTAAATACGGCTTAGCTCAGTATTTTACAGGTGTTTCTGAAATTAAAATTTGACAAACAATAAAAGATGTTTTAAATATATATTTTTAGCTCTTGAACTTCATGCACATTAAGAAGCAAATAGATATTAAATTTGTTTCAAGTGCAACTTGTTAACCTAGCACATGCCATTGGACATATTGGAAAAGATCACACACCAAAAGTGTATCAGTTACTGTATTCCTTGTTTTTAACATTAGGCAACTAGAGATGCAGCCTGCTTAACTCTAAATGGTATATTTAACGGTTGATAGACCAAATTGCAAATATTTATCTTTTCCCAAACATGGAGGATCTCTAGAGGTGCAGAAATTTTGTGCCATTTCTCAGTTTGCCCTATTTCCTGTCACCTGTTTCTAACACCTGAGATCCTACTAATACCATGTGACCTTTAAAGGGCATCACTGCTCATGAAATATTACCCTGTTGTTCTTGGGCAAGGAGGCTGAAACTTTGTTTTTTCTCTTTGGTCTTTTCTGCCTACCTCCGCATCTAGCAGATAAAAAGGCTATATGGTGCTGAATTGCCTGGCAGGGTAATTCAAACGCTCTCAGCTGAACAAGCAGGGTTAGCACTGATTCCTGACTCACCATCCATATTCCCAAACCAGCTGTTTTCCTTTACACAAAACTCCAAATTATTTCAAAGCGCTTGTATTTCCAGCTGCTCTTGGCCCCAAACTTTACTTATACCACGTCAAAGTAACCAAAGTAATCCATTGAAAAGAACTTACGCAAATGCTAGGAGCTTGTTTTAAATATTTTTAGATGGCTTTACTCATGCTAGAATTTCAAATTATATGATCTTGGTAGAACAACCTGGTCAGGCTTATCATGATTTGTATAGCTACCTTTTCAGAAGGTTTTATAAAATAAAGAAATGTAGGACGGCTCTTGCTGGCAATGAGTCTTTGAGTCCCCTTAGTAACTGGATTTGTTCATCACATTTCCCTGGTTTGTTTTATGAGAAAAGACAGTGTCTGTGGTTTGCAAAAGCAGATGAGATCTCTGACATACATTTTGAAATAAATACGCACATACTAGCTCAGTTCTTTACCTAGGCAGTCAGTGACATTCCATCATATGTGCAACCGTAACCAGGAAAAGAAGTTGTAGCAGTTTGTCAGAAAAAGATGCTGCATCTGAAAGGTCTGTTGAGCTTATCAGCATCAATCCCACGCAGGGAGCTGATGAAACACTTCAGGTCCTTAGCAATCTTTCATCTGCAAATAGGGACCTTTCTCTCACAGGAAAGAAGCTTTTGAAGAAAGGTCTTTTGGCTAAAAGTTTCCTTTTGTTTATGATCTGAAAAAAAAAAACATAGAAAATATGTAAGCAGAAATAAAATAAATATTTTTTTACTGAATAACAACAATGCCAAGAATTGGTAAGATGCATAACTGACTGTTAGCGAAGCTGTCTATCCATAGCTCACCAGCATATTGACTTCACTAATACTGATTTTGGCAGTCACCCATATAAACCCTCTCGATGATGCACTACAGCAATATCCTGCTACGTTCCAAAACAAGTAGCAAGTTACCTTAAGTCGTAGGTTATGATTTTTGAATCCAGAAATTTGACAGTCTATAGAAAATCTGCCCATTTTCAGGACAGAATGAGTTTTTACAAATTTTGAGCTGACAGGCAGCTGGCAACAGATTCAAATGAGCATTCCAGCTGAACTTCAGGTAAGGAAAGATCACCCAAATTATTAGGAATAAAAAAAATTACACAAGAGCAAGATATCACGAATGCCTTATCCTCAGAAGAAGAATTTTCAGAACAATACAATCAAGGTAAAACAGGCATAAACTCCCTGCTTCCTAAATTTTTCTTTCATGGGAATTTTCTTCCATTAAATACTTAAATAATTAAGCCCAATTATTTGAACAGCAGAATGTTAAATTGTACTTCTTGACATTGGCATTTATCAAGGTATAGTATAAACAAACTTGTTCTCTTTAAGTATTAGACTTCTCTGAGCAGAACCCTCATAACTGCAGTGTTTATACTCCTACAAAATAAAACCATTATTATAATAATACAGATTTTTTACTCAAGTCTAAAAAAACAACATCAGGCAAAGTTAGAACAATGTTTACTTTATTTGAGAAGTAGTTTTGAGGTCTAAAACTAATAAAGACAGAATGTTATTTAATACTGCACTCTAAGGTAATTAAAAAATAGATCCCCAAGGCTCCATTATTAGTAGTTTATAGGAGTCTCCTACTCAAAAGTTCATATACAAGTTCATGGAAACTAAAAAGAATCATTCAATGAATTTTGCTTCTACCACAGAAGTTAAAAAATACACAGGAGTTTATTTACTCTTCAGTCATGTTCTTTAATATATTGGCCAGTTTTTAATATTTTTATTGGCTACTGATGTTCAAAAAACAAGCTTGCACAAAATCTTGTGGAAAAATATAATCTAAGAGCATCGAGATGTAGTATTTTATCTCTAACACAAATCCAAATTCCCCAATTTTCCTATAGTCTCTAGGATGTCATTCACTGGCTGAAGAAATGGATCACCATGATAGCTATGGTGGTGATATATCTACCCAGGAAAAATTACTAGAAAATACAGTAAATTTATACATTTAATAGATTATTGTTTGATTTTCATTGGTGATCTCAAGAGTTTTACAAAGTAACACAAGTGGGATGCTATTAATTGACTTCTATAGCTAGCACACCTTTTTTTCCCTTATCTAGCTAATAGATCTGGCATCTTAATGTGGCCTTTGATAGTCTTTGATCAGACAGTGCCTTATGCCTAGTTATTTTTGGTTTATCCTAGAGCACTATATTCTGCGCAAGAAAGACTAGAGCTCACCCGTAACATCATAGTGTCGGGGATGACTCTTAAGTGCCAACAGGATGAAGGGCAGTGAGTCTTCCCTGAGGCTAACACAGGTACAGGGAGGAACACACTCAGGGAGAGCTCACTGGGCAGAGCTGGCCATTGCTTTAGGTTAATTCTCAAAGCAGAAATCCTATTTAAATTCAGTAAGATATCGGACCCCTTTCATTCAAGCATGAGGAAAGGTGGAAAAACTAACTCTCTCGCCTAATAAAGCCTAGGTTGAAATACTGTTCAAAATGCTAATTTAAAAGTGAATGCAAGTTCAAGGGTCTTATCCAAAGCTTTGTGGTATGGTCAGTCTCGGTAGAAAGCAGCACAGAATAGCACAGCTAATGTTAAACAAGCTCATGCAGATAACAGAAAGCCTAGTCACCAACAGGAGTTTTGCAAGGGATAATTTATCCTGTCGTTTAAAAAGCCAATTAAACCATAATGATGTCCTGTAGCAAGACTTAACTAAGCAGTTTGCCGTACCAAAAAAAAAGATTTATAAAAAAAGGAGAAAATTCTCAGTAATGCTGTATCATACCAGAGCCTGCAGCACAGGACAGTAGCACTTGGCAGCACTGTAGAGTTTCAGCCTCCTACGCTGTTTAACAGTTCAGTTTCTCGAGGAGTCTGTGACAGGATTCAATCAGCAGTTTTTCCCAGAGCTTTGAGGGGAAAGATACTATTAATTTTATGTGAGTGACTTGCTTTGACAGGGAAAATGGCCAGGAAAGTAAGGAAACACACCTGAACATCTTCCCCTGGTTTGGTAGCAATTGATACACTACCGAGAGAATACAGCCAGCTCAAAGCAATTTTCTCAAGGTGAGAGGCCAAAGAAACAGCAAAATTGCCAGCAACGGAAGCCTCAATTCCCAGTGAAAGAATTCCCAAGGTTGCACACAAAGTAATGAATATCAGTTCTGCCGCAATATTATTTACCTCCTAGGAGAAAAACTCCAACTCTCGGGCTCAAACCTCCGAAAGTTCACAGTAAAGAAAAAATGCAAGCCAGAAAGCAAATTGAGGAAAAAGACCTGTTCAACAGCAATACCTGTGTCACATACCTCATTTCTCTTTAGCACTCTGCTGCAGAAAGCTTCGCAAGAATGAGGATGGTCTCGGTGCTGCTTCTGCTGAGCACCCTCCTGGGTACCCCTGCGGCGCCCTCCCGGCGTCCCTCTTGTTACAAGAGGGCCCTCAAAGACCACAACTGTCACAACATCCCCGAGGGCACGGCAAACCTTCGACAAATCGTTGATGGTCTGCAAGATCACTTTTGGGAAGGGAAGGGCTGCGAGGTGATCTGTTACTGCAACTTGAACGAATTACTCTGCTGCCCAAAGTAAGAGCACGCTCATTTCATACATGCTTGCGCAGTTCTACATGACCACCCATTATATTTCCATCATTTCACAGTTTCCACGGGAGGAATAACAGATGGCTCGAAATTATATCAAGCTATAGCCAATTACATGATATGCTGCCAGTATTGAGTTTTTGTTTCTCACAGACTCACCTAGGACACGCTTCGCATATTTTGTACATCTGCATTGTCCTATTACAGGGGACTTTAGCATGTAAATCACTCAGCTTTTGACTCTTCTTTGATCTAAACTCAGTGTGAGAACTACATCTAATTCTTATTCACAGCACTTTGCAGTGAAGATGTTTTCAGGACCATAAACAAACCCATTTGATTTCTGTTCCACGGTAAAGAACCGTATTGCTATTCCAAGGTGAATGCAGATACGTTAGCTGCATAAATGATTCTGTAAATTCAGCTGTTTAAAGTAGGAAAGCAAACAAGAGAAACAGAGGTGCACAAGCGCCTGAAAGGGAGAGAAAAGATTTAGCTCAAGAACGTAAACACTTCTCTGGCTCACCGGCACTGCTGAGAAAGCTGAATCCTGAAGTTCTCACTGAACGTGGAGGTTTTTTTGTTGTTTCACAGCAAGAATGTACATCCCAACAAAATAAATATTGAGTTAATAAACACCACCAGCCCATACTGATTTGAAGTAATAAAACATATTAAGAGTTATTATTTCATTCAGCTTTCTAGCAACATCTTTGCTTTGTGAAATACAGATTAAAAATATCAACACTTCAAAATTTACTAATCCTTCAGGGACACTAAAATGTGATGGCATTACATAGGCAAATAAAAATTGCTTTTTATGTGTGTTCCTCTTACCACCCAAGTTTCTCAAGTCCCCTAAAATCCAATAAAAGGCAACTTTTCAGCACTCCCAGAGAGGACTAGATTTGAGCTAAGTGAGAATGACTTCTAAAGCTAGAAACCTCACATTCAAACTGAGAGCAGGATTTAAATAAGTTTTTAATATTTCACTCTCCCTAAAACCAGATATGGTGTCCTCACCCTGAAGTATACTTTGGGTTTCCAGCTTCAAACTCTGACCTTTGAGCAGCCAAATAAAGCCCCTTACTTTGATACAAATACATAAGCAGGTCTTCTTTCAACTGTCTTGAGGCACAGAACAACTACTTTGCAGGTCTGCTCTCGGGACAAATTGTGCTAGACAGTACGCATGCACATGCCAAAGTTCTTTATATTATCTATTTGGTAAGTTTACTTTCTCAAAGCTAAAATACCAGGGTGGAGTCCTGGTACTCTGGTCAGTCAATGAAAGTTTTACCAACCCAGGCCAGCAGAGGTAGAAATGGAGTATCTTCATCCAGACCTGCAGTTGTATTTGCATTGCTGGAAGGGCATCCCACAAACACAGTAATCCACATATATCCCACCATAAACTAAAAAAATCCACAACTGGAAATGCATGTCAAGTTAAAGTTCTGATAAACTAATAAACTAATTATTTAAATATCTGATAATATCTTTCAGGGATATTTTCTTCGGACCAAAGATATCTTTTGTGATCCCCTGCAACAGTCAGTGATGGACATCGAGTCTGCTGGTGAAGACAAGAGACATCATTCTACAAGCACATAATAATGCTTTCAAAGGGAAAAACAAAACCACTTCCAACAAAAAAAATTCCTTTATAACCACATGACAGTGCCTCTTTTTACACTGTAGAAAAAATTACCTTTCTATAGCTATTTGGAATTTCAAATAGTAAGTTCTCCTTTCAAATTTGGTAGCTGCCTTAATTTCCATAATGGTGTAGACCGTACAAGCTCTTAATACATCCTAATACACATCCCCTAGCAAAAACCCTAAGTCATGTTACTCAGCGCAACATTCTCAACTAGTTTTGATGGAAGTCCAAGCTTAAGCCTTCATGTGGTTAAGAACGTGACACTTGTAGCAACCTACTGCAAGGGCAGCTTTCTATTGCTTTATTGCTATCACAGAGTTAATGTTGTTCTAGGCTGAAGCTACTCAGAACCTGGCACTTCTGCAGACAGGCTCCCATGTTCTATTTAGGCATCTTAAACAAAAAAACATGCACATACAAAAGATTAACTTTAACTTTTCATATCTGAAAGTTCCACTGGGGAAAAAAAAGTCAAAATTCACATTAATAGTACTAAAGCACATTTGGGTCTTAATTATATCTAATTGGTCACCTGCATTAACTATGCAATCTGTAAAACCTTTAAATGGGTTAATCTTAACATTGAGCTTTCAAACCACTGGAACAGTTACAAGTGTGTGTGTGTGTGTGTATATATATATATATATATTTTTTTTTTTCAGAAAGACATCTGAAAAAGAATGGGACTGATGCAAGGTCTGTTACGGCAAGATGAAAATCCACGCTTAAGTAGCTTTTAAAATCCTGTTTGAAATGCAGTACCTCAGAATTAACTTAAAGTGCTGGGTTTTGAATTTTAGGGTCATCCTGTATGGAAATAGCTAGAGAAGTAAACACAAAGGTATCTCAAAATATTAGAAGTAATCATCTTAACATTTAAGAGATATCATGATCTAGGCTGTAGAGAGTCACCTCTCAACACCTGCCAATACCCATTACAGTACAAGAGAAAAACAACAAAAAAATGTATGTCCCTTTATAAATCTAAGGAAAGCCACCTGAACAACCATTTAGTCTTTTCCACTTCAAAAGTGTACTGTTCATCTAATAATCTTACACCATTACACCACAAAAACTGCTATCACCGGTTTACCAGACTTACTTCACATGCAGTACAAAATATCATGATGAGTGTTTTTCTTCCTCTGTTCGTAAAGGAGGGTTGGATTGTGGGGGAGGGGGGTGATTATACATAGCTAATAATAAATGTTTCAAGTAAATCTGTGTGTACTATTTTTGCCAAGTAATTTTTAGGCTACCGACTGTTAAACAAACAGTTTGTGTCACCAGGCTTTTTAAGTCTGGCTTGTGTAATTATTCCTGAGTCATTTGGGCTTCCTACCAAATCATCAATTAAGGGTAAAAAAAGCCCCATAAATCTGGCAACCCACAGTCAAAATATCCAAAGTCAGTGCTCTAAGAAAACATATGGTATCTGCTCTTGTGCAAAAGGCCTCTATAAGCTTCTAGCAGTAATAGGGGCACATAACTTCTGTTGGTTGTGCCATCTAGTTTCTACATGAATCACGTTGCATATGCCTGGCATTCACAGCTTTCCAAAGCAGCAGTAGCAAAAAATGTAAAGCAGATGCAAATCTGGCTAGTAAAGTTAGTAGGTGGTTTTCAGTTACTTTCCTTCTATCACCCCTGGCTAAGGAAAATCCATAATCTGATGGAAAAAAATTTTGCCACTTTCTACATGCAGCAGGGTAATGTCACTTAGGCTACTACTCTAAGACTGATCTCCCATAAAAACTTGCTTTTGTTTCCCTCCTCACTCCCTTTCCCTCCCAAAGCTTCTTCTGTAAGTCATGCCAGGCCTGGGTGAGAACACTTACCCTTATCACGTACCCAGAGAAAAAGCCTTTATCCTCTGAATGTCCTACTCACAGCCAGGTTCCCTGGCTGTTTCTTCAACTAGAACTGTGAAGATGACAAGCCAAATTTGTGCAAAGGATATTTAGCAAACAACTTTACAGTCACTGCAGTGAAATGGGCACCAAAACATCTCTTCAAAGGAATACCAACTTTAGCTTCCACTAGCTAGATATCACTAACCATCTTGAACTTAAGCCAACACTACAGAACTTTATTGTGGAAATACGTAAGACACTGCAAGTGAAAGAAGTCAAGCCACTGAGAGCTACTGGGAAGAGAGCCAGTTTGAGGTTAGGGTTTATCATCATTCAGTTCTATGCAAGCATCATAGGTCAAAAAAAAGCAAAGTGCAGCATCTCAGCTGCAGTGATGCCAGCAAAGTAGTACTTTTCAAAAAACTCACAGGATTAACATGGAGCTGATTAGACCACAGAAATACTGCTTTCCTGGTTTTCCCAAATTAAGAAAAAGCTTTTAAACAGCTGATCTAAAAGTTGCAACAACTACTAACTGAAAAAGCAGAAGCTGTGTCCTCCTCTGCCTTAAGATGAACTCTTTTCCCTCTGCCTTTTCTTCAACCCATGTGCACAGCTTAAAGCAGAAATAAGTCCTATTCCATACACCACATATTTAAACTTAGTTAAACAACACTACAAGAAGTTATTCTTAATATAGCCTTCAAAATCAGACTTTACTAAGATATTCAATTAAAAGGAAAATATTACTGGATATTTTTCTTATAAGTTACCATAAGTTTTGGGTTGGTTTTGGTGTTGTGTTTTGGTTTTTTGAACAAGCTAATGCACACCATGAAAAAGAAATAGTATGCCTATTAGAAGATACCATACTGACACAGCATAGACTCCGTCTTCCATTTTCCAAGTAAGTTCTTCACAGCAGACTATGTAGATGAATGGAATAGTCAGCAGCTAAAAGATTTCTTAACAAGTGGAAGGATTTCTCCGCACAGTAAGCTGCACCAGTCTTTCATCTGTACTTATAGCTTTGAAATTCGAGAGCTGCATTTTGGTTTTTTTTACATTTTAATATAGGAGCAGGAAGGCCTCAGTGCTTAGAAGCACATATCCCAGCAATGACAAGAAGGATAAACAAATCAAAAGAGTCATCAATTCCTGTTTCCAAAGAGGAAAAAGAATGTTATTCAGCCATTTCTATCCAGCTAACAACTGGAACTGTCATTTAAAGCCTTTTACCTTAGCAAGAAGAATCTACTGCCAAGTCTGCTACAGCCTTTTTTTTTTTTTTCTTTTAAGGCATTGCATCATAAGAAGTACATTCATAAATATAACCTTGTCACACTTTAATTGAAAAATATTTTTAATACCATTACATAATTAGTGAAAGCTTAACTATTAGGTAAAGTTAGACACACCCACTCAAGCAACAGTATCAGTGATATTTATTTAAAATACTTTTGCTGAGGAAATTTGTTTCATAAGAGATGGTTTTCAAACAAATCAGCAAGGTTATGAAAAATAAAACAGAGACAAACTCTCTGGGGAGAAAAAGTTACAAAGAAAGCTTTTGCATATCAACAAAAACCCTCAGTCTTTTGATTTGCGGCCTGAGTCTCAGTCCCAACTTTGTCCACCTAGTGAACCCCACTATCCATCTTTAGATCTGGTTTGTTCTTGTCATTCTTCACTGAGTAGATGAAATATGTTAAGGTGTCCTTTTCATTCACTGGAATTGTCCTAAAATGGCAGCCAATTATCTATAAAGGAAGAACGCAAGTAAATTAAATAACCACTCTTATATGCAGAAACTGAAGATTCAGATTTAATTGACTATGTTAAAGATTAAAAGTTTGATCAAGAAGCTTAAAAACAAAAAGGAAGAGCTACTTCTCTACAAAATACTTTAATAGTCATAAAAAAGGTAAACAGGAATTTTATTGAGAACTATGAACTAGTAAATATAGACTCTACCCTAATTTCGGAAGTAAGAAGCCCAGAAATTTTTCAGAAAAAACAAATGAGTTCTCAAAACAAGCACAGGATTATCTTTACATCTGTGCAGTTAAAATTTGACTATAAAGCAAGTAATGACTACAGAATATCAATAGTGACAGCACAGAAATGAGAAGCTAGTGCTCATCATTTAGGTCGAGGGTGGTCGTGGTGTGTGTTTGTATCACGTCACATATAAAACCATCTAAGAAACACAAGAATTATAATTGAACATTCAGCTCTTCAAAACAGAGCTATCCATGAAACTTTATCATGCTTTAACCGCTAAAATATGACAATCTCTAAACAGTTCTTGAATCACTTTTGTCATTCTGGAAGTCTTTCCCTTCATCAAAATGAATACCAGCTTTAAAAGAAGGCAGGTATAATATTTTGTATGCTTAAATTTTTCTCTGTTTTTTTTCAGAATATTTTTGTAGATTAAGATTAGCAAGTGGGAAACACGGGACTACTCATGTAGCTACCACAGGATATAAGTATAAAAGTTTAGCCTAATTTGCAAGTTAAGAAGCTTTCGAAACCCCACCCCAAAATAATCAGAGAAGTAGACTTTAAGTAACAGTTAGAGGAGTGTCTATTGTAAATTAGGACACTTTACAAGGAGTCACATGTACTAAGGAAGTTCTGTGTCTATGGCTCACAAATACCTGCAGGTCAATCAAAACAAGCGTGTGACAGAAGTTTTGCCCATGCACCATAAGAATAAACTACTGCAAGTAACTTGTGAGATGTACCTAAACCAGAGCCTTAGAAACACCAGTTTTGCAGAACAAAAACTGCTTGTGCTTTCAAATCACAATCCTGCTAATTCAAGAGCTAGCTGTACCTCAACTCACTTATAAGAAGATTGATTTTACATTCTTACTCGTAGTAGCAGCAGCACTATTCTTTTACAGCTCAGCTTTGAGACCTCCCACACATCTAAGAACCTTGCCTTTAATCCACACAGATTAAGGGAGACACCAACAAAATGTCTGCACTGAGTGTATCACCATACAAAAGTGAAAAAATAGGAGCTATACCTCCCTGTCAGAAGATCACCAGTTCTCCCACGTATTTACATCAGCACGCTGTAACCGCATCTTTGCGGTGCTGAAGAATTCCTTTAAAATTACACTCACATGCAGCAAAGATGCTTACATACAGCTGTACTCACACACAGCTTCAGCACTTTTAGAAACATTGGCAAGAAAAAAAATGATTTCGTAAACTTCCTTTTTTTCTGATGGCAGATCCCAGTGGTTTTAATTAACAGAATTAATTATCAATAGTAGTCTGTTTTTAAGGTTTCCATCCTTTACATATACAGAAACACACATTTGCAGTAATCAGCTTTTTAAAGCAAAGTCGGAACCTTTGCTGCCACCTCTCAGCTTCTAGTTTTTTTCAGCAGGACACATCAGGTGAAGGGGTGACTGATGCACAGACTATAAATGTGTGATTCTATGATATTTAGGGACACACAGATCATCTTACTGTTCCAACTCAACACCTTGTGTTTTTAAGCAGCACACATTCCTTTCGGCAGTTAAGAGTCCCTCCTCTGGAAAGAACTTTTACTTTTGATTTCCTTGGCTCAGGAGAAGGAAGCTAGATAAGCAGTTCCCTTTTGTTCTCCTAAAATCCAGATTACATATGCTCTTCATGCAAGGATCATATTGTATAGAAAACCACATGCCATAGCAAGTTGCATTTGCTATTACAGAACAAACACTCATACGTACTTCAACAAGCTGTGCTTTGTTAAGTCCTGGTCTGGTCTGTAGCTTGAAGTGTCTTTTGTACCTTCGAAGTGTGTTTACTTGTAACTGATATAAATCAACCTAGAAGAAAAGGGGGGAAGGGGGAGGAAAACAGTCTAGTATAACTGAAAAGGATTCAGTCATTAATAGTTTGCCTCTCAAAAACATTTTGGAATTTCAGATACATAAGTGTAAACAGTCAACTCAGCAGATCTCATTTTGACAAAAAACAAACTCCACCCTGCACCTTCCAGCAGAAAGGAAAACAGCCCAGCTCAGTTTAAGAGCATTTTACTGTTACTGAGCACAGCTCTGCCTCCCTTCAGCTGTGGACAATATTTGGAACTCATTATTGTGCTTTAATCAGTTCTGAGGTTTTTTTTGTTTCCCAGTTCAAGCATGATAACACAAAGCCCAGTAACAACTTCTGTAAAACATATATGAAGATGCTGATCCAAAGGAGGCCCCTATATCATGATTTTGGCTATCAAATTTTACACAAGTTATGTGCAATATATAGCACATCTGCACCACAAGATAGCACATATTAAAATCAGGAAAAAGTCTACAGTGCAAAGTTTTCTTGGCTTGAAGCAAGAGAAGAAAACAGCTGTTCTTGCTCTTCAAACATATCCCTGCTACATAAGCACAATGCAGGAGTTGCGTGCACAGGCATAGTTGTCCAGAACTATTTTTCGGCACAAGTTGACAGTTGAGAGAATTGCACAAGGTCCTCTTAGTGATACAAGCACACAACCTTAACCCAATACTCTGTCATTTTTTAATCTCATGAACTCTGATCAGCAGTCACTTCTCCCAGCAACAGCTTACCCTCCCAGCCTCCTTGACAGTGTAAGAGAGCCTAATCAGATGACTGAGTGGGAAAGCAAACTGAGAAAGCAGGCTGAATGAGAAATTCTGCTAGATCAGTTGCAATTACAGTAGTATTCTCCAAACTCACTGCATTAAAGATTAAGCGTTCACTTTTGCTTTATATTCATTTAGCAGCCTCACTACAGAATACTTAAACAGCAGTGATACTGCATACTTGGTAACCTGGCCAGACTTGATCTGATGCCCCCTTGCATGATAGAGGATGGGTACCCTTTGGTATTCCAAAGTTTACACTGCACAAATTCCACTTCCTGAATCATAGTGGGGAACCTGCACCCCAGAGCATCATGGTGAGGAGCAGCAGCAGCTTTCCACCAAGTCCCAGAAGCTAACAGTACTGCAGAAGCCTCTTCTCTTGTAAGAATCACTTCTAACAGGTAAGGATGGTCATCACCGAGGTGGAAATGGGACGGTCTTACAAATCTTCAGGAGAATGATTCTTTTTTTTTTCCCCTTAGTAAACTGGATAGCAATTGAAAATAAAAATGGTCAAGGGCCAATAGGCATCTTAGGCATACAGTAATCACATTGGAAGACCATACCGCTGTTGTCCAAACAGCCAGATGAAACTCCTCAGAAATACTTTCCAGGCAGCTTGCTTTCCTGCAGTAGTACCACTAAAAAATAGAGCTTGCTTTCTTGTTCTAGAGAAATCCATCAGTTGTGACATGTTTTATAATTCTTGCATGAGAAAACAAAACAGGCTTGCAGGATGGCTGCGACTACCACTGTGCCAGAGAGCTACCTGAAGTCACACAGAGCATTAGCTTTAGACAGAGCTTTCAGAGAAGCAATCCCAGATATTTAACAGACAAACAACACACCCCAGCATCAAACCACTTCCAATCCCCTAAAATCCTCTTAGCCAAAGACTTCAGACTGAAGCCGTGTGCCTTTAGGCATGGATTCTTGTACAAAGTTTCATCACTTTATGCTGCTGATATCTGCAGATGCTGACTACAAGGATGGCATTAAATTAACACTTACAAAGCAATTTCTGAAGAATGCTTTAAAAATCCCTCTTAGAAGGGACTAGGTAGGCATGGTTAGTTTCTGCTCGAAACTAACACACTGAAGAGTACCTGCTAAACCAGGCTGCAGCAGAAATAATCCAGACAACATGCAGGAAAGAGAAAGCTGTAGGTTCTATACCATGAAAAAGGTTGAAAGCTGTAGTTTACTTTAATAGGGTGAGGTTTCACTGGTCTGGAGTGGAGAAAACAGGTTGGAAAAACACCATCTTTCTCCACTCCTTTTAACATAGCTCCCCAAATCTCTCCTGCCCCAACAATGGGATAAAATCAAAGAGCTACTGTCATTAAACTTTGTGTTTAATGCGACTAACGCAACAGAGTAACTGCAAGAGCCATCTGCAACACATTTAGCACAGAAGGAAAGGATCAGAGGGGCAGGGCAGAGAAGCATTTATATCCCAAGCCCTATGTGCAATTCCCTTCAGGTTGTCAACTCCTGCAGAAAACAGAGTTTGCTGGTATGTGGCAAAGCACCACTGCGGGGGGC